ACCTAAATAATAATTTGTATTATCTTTTTATCTTAATAATTATATAACTAAAATTTATAGTAAAAATGTCTGTTTTTAAAAATTAAGTTGATTTTTTTTTTTTAATCATACATTTTATATTAATTTCTGTAATCTTTAGTTTAATATAAAATTAATTCTTTTAAATATTTGTTTTGTTATTGAAAAAATAAATGTATTCTATTAATGCGATGAACATTTTTACCATCGGCTTGGTGGAGAAATAATAGACAGACATGAGGAATATACGATATTTTCAACTCTGTTCACAATTGTCATGCATGTTCAATACAATGGTCATTAAGTATAACATAATACATTATTCGATAGTAATTGTTGTTAAACAAAGTATTTTCCAAGTATCTCTAAGATTCTAAAAACTAGATTATTCTCCTTTATATAAGTACCTATACTACATTTTGAAACAACAGTTGCGTAGTAGTTACTAGACTAATTTAGAGTTCTATCGATTTAGAAATACAGCTATAGTATAAATATATATGTTTATAGACTACATACACCAAACTTCCACGTTGAATTTAAAATTCAATGACTGACATGCGTTGTATTTAATGAAACTAAAAACAACCCATAATACTGCATAATTTTATAGTTTATTATGTATTCTTGCTATTGTAATTATTATCGTATTATAATTTATAATTAATAAAATATATTATACCATATGGACACGTGAGTGGGTGGTTTTTGATTGAATTCATATGCGTTAGGTTAATTCATTATAGTATCACATTATAGATAATAAATCGGACAGTCATTTATCAGGTATGCGTAGTTATCAGTTTCACAATAAATATTGTAAACGTAAGTACAATCTGTGATCAGAGAGTTTTAACTGTGACGAAACATAATATAATATTTTAAAATATATATATATATATATATATATATTGTGTATCATGTGTAATTTAATTTTCTAATTACTAAGCGCGTGTGTGTCTGTGCGACGGCGACGGAACGCGTACAATGGCGAAAAATGTGCTATACACAATACCGGGGTTCATTAAGTAAAAAAAAAAACCCGTGACATGTCGGTTTATAAAAGAACTGTATATTATTATTTAGAACGAATAACTAACATAAAAACTGTTTACAAGTGTTTGTAACTCCATATTTCCATTGTTACACTTCAAAAATCTCAACCATATAATTGGACAAATGAACGTAATATAATATTGTAACATTAAAAAGTCAGGTAGGGAATCGACTACTCTTTAAATAAAATCGGTATCAGGTACGTTTATTTTTGTAAAATCACGAAAACTTCGTATCTGGGCGATTGGCGTCTACGTGTAAAGGACTCATCGAAAAAAACCGTTGTCTTATTGTTCGATCGTTTGGTTAGTGCCGCTTAATAATATAACAACAACAAAATATAACACAATAATATTATAACACGACTACTATTAAAAATACATTGCTCAATAAAACTTGAGTTTTTGTCATGACTCGTAATAATAATATAGCGTTTATCTTTTTACTACCTGTTTATTATAATTTTGGCGGATAGCCCGGAGATAGCCGTACGCCCGTGGTATAACTATACAGTATAATATACTCAACCACGTACATTTAACTAAGTAATTTATCATAACTTTACACGGTTACACGTGTTTAATAGTTAATAACACTAAATCGATACAAAAAGGACGGACCCTCGTTACCGAACCGCGTTGTTCTACAAATTACAATCATGTTTACTAATAACTACCGGAATAATCATTGTATAATAATTATTGTGTTATTATATTATTATTATTATTATTATTATTATTATTATTATCATCATCATCACATAGTGGCGTAAATTGGGGAGTGCTGTGGAAAAAGGATATAGGTACATCGCGCCGACGAGGTGGAGTGTATTATAAAAGGACGATACTATGAAATTCAGGAAATTCGGGAGATATCGTTTTGAATCAATATAATATATTATCATATTATAATAGAATACTATAATAACAATATACCTGCCTAAACTGCTTCCCGGTTATGTAATAGAGGTGGTTTATGGAGAAAATGACTCGCTTTATTAGCATTTCAGATTTTCTGTCCACTGATATAGTATTATATAATATATTATATACAGTATACCGCACGGAGTCTAAAATATACAAGAATGATTATTATATAATATTATATTTATTATTATGAAGCAATAATATACTTTTTACTGGCAAAACATAAAAACGACTATTCTCGCTTTGAAACCACATCGGACGCTTATACCAGGAAATCAGGAAATCTGGTGATGGCATATAGCACTAGATGCAAGGACGATGACGTCGATGTATAAAGTATTCTAAAAGTTATTAATATCATAATTATTATGAATATTATTGGTATTAAAACAGTTTATATATTCGAATATCAAAAATATTTTAACTCTATGAAAATTAAGCGAGATTCGGATAGAGGTATCGTTAAAAATTTAACCAGGTATTCAATTTCAATTAATAACAACCCGAAACTTGTAAGTACCAGGTAGATGGTGCACTGAAAATTTAAGATCGCTTAATGCTTACCCATCACGTTAATTTCCATTTACATAGCATCATCTATTATTTCGACGATCGTGCTTCTTGTTCCTGAGTCCCTGACAAATATAATAGTTCAAACTCATGGAACAAAGACACGATTTTTTTTGATATCCTCAAAATATAAAATAAAGATTTTGATTGATAAGATATTTCTAATAACTTGCATTTTATGATTTAGACAATATGTTTACATAATTTAATGTAAGAAAAAAAATATCAGGTAAATTATGTAATAGCTTTGTATATCATGTTATACTTTAAGATAAAACTTTATTTAAATTTTATTTTACGAATCATTAAAGTGTATTTTAAATCGTTGAAATTTGATTTAAAATCATTGTAAAAATCAATATTATATCACTATAAAATAAAATATTAGTTATTTGGATGAATAGATTTAATAATCGTTAGGATAATTTTCATTTTTTCCTTTTTTATTAAATGTAAATATCTATTTAGTATTCGTTAATGCCAAAAATTACGTCACGAACTATAATATACATATAACTTATGAATTTTTGTTTGAACGATGTAGGGCGTAGGTATATCATCAACAGCGTAGTAACTATGACTGAAACTATAATTTTTTTTTTTTTTTTAAGTGCGATAACTAGATAGCATATAACACAAATTAACATATCATGATAAGATTCCTATGCAGCTGTACTGCAGATTTAACCTAACCAAACCTAACCTGGGCATGCTCACTAGAGAAGTGGATGAGACGGTCAAATCTTAGTTTGTATTTATCATTAGAAACTGTTCGTGTTTTCAATATTTTTTCACGTGTGATTTTTAAGTCAAGTTTTAATCGATAAGTAACAATAATGTATGCAGTAAATTATTGAAAGTATAATTATTTTACCGTCATCATAATTCAATTAATATAATTACTACGTACAATAATAATATACGTGTACAAATTGACCTAACGCAAAAAAATTGTAATATTTTACAGTAGTTACAGCTTATTGGACTCACTTTAGGACCAAAGTCAGAAAGGCGGAAGGTCCAAAAATTAAAATATATGTCAATATACATTATAATAAAACATAAATATGAATTATTATGCTATATTTTATATTTATTATATTTGCTTAATTATGCAGATATTCGTTAGAAAAATATGAAAACAGTTTTTTTTTTTTTCAAAAACGTTATTTAAAATTATTTATAATTATTTAAATAAAAAAAAAGATTAATAATTTAAATACATTTCTATTTTATGAAGCAAGGAAATACTAAATAGTATTGTTAGTTGTCGTAATCTATACGATAAAATCGAGAAAACGGAAAAAAATAATACATATTGACTTCATTAAACATTGTTCAACAGACGAATTTTTTCTTGTGATTAGTATTTTTTTGTAAATTGGGATTAGCCCGTTTATGTCCAATAGCTGTACATTAACCACAAGTATAAAATGAGCGGTGACTACTGCAGAATAATTATCATTAACGAGCATGGCCCCCGTGCAGGTAAATAATGTGAGACTACAATTTTTGATTTTTTCTCGTTATAACACCGCGGCGCGGTGGTCTGAAAACAGTCTAGAATGCATATTATCCGCGGGGCCTTCAAGACTGGTGTACCTATTGCGTTGTAGTCGACGACTACGGCGAAGAATCAAAACATTTGTACGGACGTAGCGTTATTAATTATTTTCAGAAAGATCAAGAGAAAAAAAAAAACAAAACAAAAAACCTAAAAAAACAACGCGACAGACGGCGGTAGTTAGCACTGTGGCCATAGTGTTGTTTACAATACGTACGACATTGCGTACATATAGGTATAGAGGTATACGACGGATAGCAGAACCGTGTGGCGTAACAGCGACCTAGGTGCCGGGGGCCCAACGACGGCGGGGAGGTACGGGCGAGATACGATCGCCGCCGCACTCCCGAGTCGCCCGGCGAATTGCACACGCACATACAAGCTCGCGTTTCTCTCGTCGCGGCGCATGCGGCGGCGGTGGCGGCGGCGTCGGCGGCGGCGGCGGCAGACGAGCGCGCGACCCTTGGCTGCGTGTGTGCTCCTCGGCGGTCAGTCGCCGCTAACGCACGCCGGACGTGCCCGTCGAACGCCCGGTGGTCCCCCCCACCGCAGTAATCACGCTCGCGAAATCCCGCGACAAGTGCGCGAGAACATCGTCTTCGTGTCGTGTCGTCTCGTGAAATCATTACGAAGTCTTAATAATCGTAAAATTCGTCGTTACCCGTCGCGTCACGAGTCGTCGGAACGTAATGCGTTAAATGACGATAACTGCAGTGATCGTCTCGCATTAAAACAAAATAGTAATAATAATAATAATAATAATAATTAAGAGACGACTTTCGTCTCGTCACACGGTTATACGAAATAATAATATATGATAATCATTGTGCGGTCGTCGGGATAAAATAAATTATAATATTAATAATAATAATATGTCATAATATCGTTTGGGCACAAAATATATTGTAATATTGTTATTTGTTATCAAACCGCCGCCGTCGTCGGCGTACCTGTTTCGATACATTATTAGGTATACGACGTACGTGTGCGATCGTTGCGAATCCGTTGCAACCAGTGACGTTTTTCCGTGTTGAAATTACCGACGGTTCCAGTTTTCGCAGCCCCGTCGGCCGACTTCATTTCCCGGCTCGAAGAAAAACCAGTCGGCGTGTCGGTTATACATCGTTTTGTTTGCGCGCGAGTGCCAACGACCGGGCCCCTGTTTTAAAATTATTTTCTTAACACTTTGTGTACGCGCGCGTGTGTGTGTGTGTGTGATGCGGTTTCCAGTATTGTGTTCTCCGGATCATCGTCGTCATTGCCGCCGGTGCCACCGTGACCCAGTGATCTCGCGGAGAAGCGTCCGATCTTAAACACGTACTAGATATTATATACGTATATCATATTGTACGGTGCACTTACGCAGGTACTTATATACACTACTGTTACCACTACCTTTGTCCGGATACCTGAATACGCGTGTAAACACCAGTTATTTACCTGTAATATGTTGGCCGCAGCTGACGCTAATATTATGTGATACTCTATATTATTATTATGATAATAATTGTTGCGCAGAACGATAACTCGCGTTATTATTTATTTTGTACGCCGCCGTGTGTGTTATGTATTTTATGCTAATGGTGTACGACAGAGGAAATATTGCCATTTTCATAATTTTGTTTTAAAAAAATAATGCTCCGAATACCATTATATAATTACGATGTAATCGTGTTAAACGTATCGTAAATTTGTTTTTTTTTTTTTTTTTTTTTTTTTAACACACTACGTGTTCTCACGCCTGTATATTAAGATTCTTTTTTGATTTTTCACAAAACACTGTAAGTACGTTTATTTATCGTTATTTTTTTCGCGTAAAATAATTTTCTCTTATCAGAAAAGTTGATTTCTCTCTTTGGTCGTTTTGTTTTTTGATCAGGATTCAGAAAAAAATGTATTTAACCGTGCGATTATCGCAAGCGGTATTTTTTTATACTTGATAATTTACTATCAACTATATTATAATTATGTTTTTTTAAATGACGTTTACAATATTATATTTACGTTCGAAAAATGGTATTCGAGTAACCTTTTAATTTCTTGTTCGACATTAACTTATGTAGTTTACCGTGGTCGTAAAGTGCGTACCTATAGTATTTCAACGTCGTCGACTATTGGTCGTAAACATAGTAATTCGTGTTATTTTAATTGCTGTGACGAAGGGTTATAAAGTTTGTTTTCGTTACGACCATTACTGAAGTGAATTTATACGAAAAAAAAAACAGGAAAATAAATGTACTTAAAAACACGCCTACACAAACACAAATATATCATAATAATAATATAATATACACGTAATCAGGCGTATATATAAATTATTTACTACGTGAAACTAAATTTATCATCACATATACACAATAAAGACGATAAGGAAAATACATCAAATGATTTTAAATAGAAAAATAATTCAAAGATGAAAATGCCAATTTAGTTCAGTTAAAATGTCAACGAATATGTTTCACGAAGAATTATGAAAAAGTTTTGTGTTGTGTGTCCTTGAATGAATGGCTTTTTTGATTTGAAAGGTTAAACTGAAAAGTTAAAATAAATCTAAAATGTATTATTATGATTGTGTTGATATTTTTATTCGTACGTCCATGACACGAACCTGCAGTATTATATTTTCATTAGAAGTTTCTACTTTCAGACGTGGAAGTAAAAAAAAGGCGATTATAAAATAACATTATAGACAATATTATGAATGAATAAGAAAATATTATCATTGACAATAATGGTATGCTCGTCCATTGCACGACATAATAGTGTTTAACTTGAGAACCGTTTAATACTTAATCTATAGGTAATAATATGTATCTATAATCAATCAAATTGATTTTCGAAACATAAATTTACAAAACGATAGTAAGTTATTTTACATCACAAATTCATAAAGTATACGAGTACATCACATTCTTGACTTGATTATTATCGTTCAAGTCGGTTAATGTATTCGAGGTTTTTTTATCACTGTTTCAAATTATTATCGTTATGGTCTGTAACACTAAAAACATTGAAATAATAATATATTCTCAAAGCTTAACAGTGGTTTTCGAGATATATATCCGAAATTCATTGAAGCATACAGTCAATGGACTTCTGGTTTAGACGACCTGATTTCATGAGAACGTATTAATAAAATGAAATGCTGTATAAATACAAAGATAAAATCGTATGAGAAAAATCTTATACTCTAATAATGTAATATAATGACATGTTAAGTCATTGTATTCGATTGAAAAATACTTGAAATAGATAATATTTTTTAAAACAAAAAATATGTATTATAGCATATTATTATTATTATTATTATTATTATTATTCACAATAGTCAATATATTATGTTGTAGGTACAGCTTATAACTACTATTGTTATCGTCGGTTGTCGAATTTTTCCTCGTGAACGACCAGTAAAATGTTATCATTGATTTATTTAAATAAGTACATATAATATAGGTATCATTAATATTGATTTATTTATACTTTAAGCGCGTATTATATAATATTATAAAATGTTGGTATTATTCACATATTTTAAATTATCGTATTTAAAAATGTCTGATTTATTTTTGTAACACAATGAATTTACCTGGTAAATTTTATTTTTTGAGCCCTAGTGTTAGAAAACAATGCGATTTTTAGTCTCGAGTATAATTTAAAAAAATTAATATGATTTTTAGAAATATTTCATTTAATAATATTATTGGTTTCGTGTGTATTGTGCTTTAAAAATTTAATTTTGAGCGTCGTTTTAGTGTTCTATAACTCTTTCACATAAATAATGAGTCGATCGACTAACATTTATGGTAGGTATATAGAATGTATGTAGGTACCTTTAATGTTTTACTTTGATCTTGTATCAAAGTCCCAGGATTTTCATTAATGTTTGTTTAAGTAATCAGTTTTTCTATATTTAATTATAATTTAAAAGGTAATTATTTCCTTTCATTAAATATCTTTAATAATTATATAGTATTAATTAACATTTTAAGAGAATTACAAATTTATTAGAAAATGTAGTTTTTTTTTTTCTAATAATGTTCAATCTAACTATTTTTGTGTAAAATAGAACTTACTGTTGTATCGCTTGATATATTAAATTTTGTAAATAAATTATGTTTTGTTGTTTTAATGAAAACAATTCTACTCCAAATCATTTACTGTAAACGATGTTCTGAATTGTTTCTCGGAATTTAACTCTAACCTATCCGTTTCAAGGGTAATCGAATTTGTAGCTTATTCACTTAAATTACTCGTATGTCTAATCTATTTACGCATTATCCATTGACAGTTTCATGTTGTATACGGTTCTTTGAAAACACAGATAATAAACATAATATCAAACTATTAAGTGATTGTAGCAAAGTCAAATCCGATATTATTATTTATTTTCGAGAAAATTAAACTCGTGTGCAAATAAAAATTATACTTTTATATTTCATTTTCTTCCAAAATTTATCTATACACATAAAATGTTGAATCATAAATTCATAAAATTAAATTATATTAATATTAATATTACTATATTTTTAGCAAGCTGATAAGTAATAATGTATAATTTAGAATAGAAGACAAGGTTTCGGAGTATTTAAACACTAAACTTTAAACACTGCATATTTTATTGGCAACACGAGATTATAATAAAAGTTTTCTGAGTTGTGTATTTTATGTTTGATTTTCTACACGTATGAAATATATATATATACTTTTATAATTTACTAATACTGTATAAAATAATAACTATGAACCCATACTTAATTATATAATATGTTATTTGCATATATTGCTACCAATGGAAATCTAAAATTCTGTTGTCTACTCTAAGTACAACTTTTATTTTGTTTGACTGAACGAAGCGCATTACAATCCGAAATTACAATTCTAAAGTGGTATAAAAATGTTGGTCTCCAAAATCTAATTCAATCTCAGCTGTGTTTTCGCGTGTATATCCGGTGTGGTTTATTGCGTTTTGCATTTGACGCTGATAAAATATTATACAGCCGATGCTGTATAATGTAGTAAGTATAACATAAAAGTTGCATATTGTTTTGTTTTGATTTTTTTTTTATTTTATTTTGCTATGTTATTAGCTATCGTGTGAGATAGACGAGTCGAAATAAAATATATTATCGCGGTTTGAATAGTAAACTTTCATCGGAAGATGATTTATGAATATTTTCCTAGTACGTTTTTATGATATATATGACACTATGATATTTTATCGTAGACGTTATATTTTTTTATTTTTTTTATTATTGTTCGTTATATTTTTTCTTACCATAAAACTCCGGATATTATTATTATGGGAAGAGGATCGCAATACGCGCGTAAAATATTTGAAATTGATTTGTTCGTTTCCGTTTCGGTCTACTACTTATATACATATATCGCGTTCTTCTGTTTTATCACGAACGCTGGCCACTTATACCGCGATGCCGTCACGGAATCGCTGCATCCGAATGCTCATAATACACAGGTGTGCACAGTGTACACTACAAAAAACCAAATAAAACAATCTCGTATGTATAATATAATATCAGGAACCTATTCACGGTGTGTTGGAGGGTCGTTCGATCGCGTGTGTTATTCTCTCATTCGATAAATTGGAAGTACGCACATAAATGTAAGCACACGATGTTACGATGAATGAAGAATTGGTCAAATAATTGTATAGTTTTCGACAAAGGTGGGCCAGTTAATGAAAAAAATAAAATAATTTCAGTAAATTCAGTTATACGTTGATGGTTAACAAACAAATATTTTAATCAAAAAGTTTAAAGTTAATATAAAAAAAAATATAACATACATTTTTTAAATAAAGTTATTATTATTTATTTATTTATTTATTTTTTATTATTTCCATTTAAATTACTCTCACTTTTAATGGTTACTGTTCAATTTTTTTAAAATAAATCTTAATATTCTTTATCATTACAATAGTAGTGGTTAAAGTATTTATAGTTTAAAGTTGCACATGTCAACTAATTTACTTAACCAAGAAGGTTTTATTCGTTTATTATTATTTAAAATAATCGTGTAAAACACAGTGAAATTAGTTTTAACTATAGTTAGAGATATGTATAAGACTTAATAGTCTTAACTTAGCGTATTATTTTTAAATTTTACAGGAAAAAGATAAGTTATTTAAATTAATAGATTTAATTAAGTTTAATTTATTAAAAATAAGTAAAATAGTCAGGTTAAAATATTCAAAAAAATAAATAATTTTCAATCACTTAGTTGGTTCACATTTTCAGCTTTTAGTTTACGTGTGGTACAACCAGTATAAAATCATATAGCTTTATCGCATGGTTGTATTGGTTTATAACTATTAACTATGCGATGGCGATGTAAACAAAGACGATTATG